GATGGGGCATTGGAACAGGCTGCCAGGGCAGTGGTGGAGTCACCATCCCTGGAGGGGGTCAGGAAACGTGTCGATGTGGGGCTTTGGGACATGGGTTAGTGGGTTGGGTGGGGTTGGGTTGACAGTTGGACTTGATGATCCTTGAGATCTCTTCCAACCTTCATGATTCTATGATTCTATGGAATATTTCCTTGTCTATGCCAAGGTGGCACTCAAAGTATCTCCAGGGTTTGTATTCTCCATGTATTCTCCTATCTCACAGAGTCCTGGGCTCTGCTGGTGTTTCTGGTGCTCCTCCCATCATTATGGTCTCTTTCCTCTCTTTCCTGTGTTCTTCTGGCTGCTCACAAAAATCAACAGTTCTGGCTGAAGCTGAAGAGAGCGTCCCTGGGCTGCCTCGGGATCGCTGTCATGGTCAAACACTGCGAAGCAGGACATGGACCGCATTGTCCGAGCATCAGTTGACCACACAGTGCCCGTGGGGCTGAGGAGAGGTCCTTGCTGTCCCTTCTCTCCCTGCTCTCCCACCTGCCCCCAGCATCACTCCCCTCTGTCCCCAGAAAGGTTTGATGGCCACTCCAAAGCCATTGGTTGTCTTAAAAATTGGAGCATCTCCAGGGACCACTTCTATCCTGCCAGGCTGGGTCCCATCCCAACCAACACCTGCCTTTCCTTCTTATTTACTTCATGGTGCTAGGAAATGTTGTCAACATTATTCACCAGCTTCTTACTGGTTTTTCCACAAAGTTTTAGGAATTGTGCTGGATGCTGTGCTATCCTTAGGACCCACCAGTGACGTGTACCGGCATCCTTCCCGGGGCAGTTCTCCTCACCTCAGCATGCCAGCGAGCAACTGAGAATGGAAAGCTACTTTAGGGAGAAATTACCAATATTTCCTAACCCGCACACAAAGCGTTGACCGCAGCAGCGCACGGCCGTGCCTCATTACCTGCGGAGAAGGTTCTGCGGCTGGTACGCTTGGGTGACCTTTTTTTTGGTTGCGTCTCTACAGAAAAGATTTTCAATTAATATTGACCTTTCATATGGGTTTTGAATCTGCAGATGGCAAAATGGGCTACAAATTAGATTTTGCAGTACACCTTGTTCGTTACATTTCCCAGCTGATGAGTCCCAGGTGGTGTGCGGTACCTCCAGTACTGGGTGCAGCTCGGATTTCTGGTTGTGTTCAAACCCCCGAGATATTGTGTAGAAATGCTATCGTTTTTCTTCCGATAGATGTGTTTTCATTCTCCAGCTGTACTTTTTACTCTTTTTTAAAAAAAACAAAGTATTTACTTTATGGAGGAATATTCTTTAACTAATATTTAGAAGGAAGGGAGCTGCGTGGGGTATATCTAGTGCTGGTTGTAGGGTGGTGTTACTCACCAAGCTCTGAATACGGTGACGATTATAACTCGAAGAAAGCTATTTTGGTTATTATTCTAATAATAGCTGTTAAAAAAGCTAAAATATGGCATAATAAACAAATCGCATTTGTCTGAGTCACTACCAAACTAAAGATGTTTGGTAGAACTATGCTTTGTATTTCATTGTTGTTGTCAGCAGGGAAATCTGTGCAAATTGAACGTATGTTTGCTGTAAACGAGATGTCTTGAATAGGATTAGCAATGACAAATCTACTCACCTTTTGAAAAGAAAAAAATATTGGTTTGGATTCTAAGGTGTTGCTGTAGGTTTTGGTGGAAGAAGTCTCTTGGTTCCTTAGCTAAGCAAGCAGAGGTTGATTGTTGTCATTGAGTCCAGGTCAGAAATAAGTGGGATTGTCTACCTCCTGCTCCCCTGAACACGCACAGCAGGAGAATCAGAAAGGAAGGAAACAGCAGAAAAATGTATTTATATTTATTGTGTGTTTGCAAGATAGGCTTTTGCTTCTGTGATGATTTGTGAATTAACAAATGACTCGTGTTTTGAGGTTTGACTCCGATATGTTAGAGCTGTATTCAGTCTAGAAATCAATAGCGACCTAATGGTATTTAAAAGCTCCTACGTTTTCATACTTATGGTTTCATCTTTTCTCCCAGGTGTTTCTTGGAAGATGGAGCCTCAAAAGGTGCCTGGCTGAATCGGTCGAGTATTATTTTTGCGGGAGGTGACAAGTGGTCAGTAGATCCCCGCGTTTCAATCGCCACAGCGAACAGAAGAGAGTACAGCCTGCAGATCCAGGACGTGGACGTGACGGATGACGGTCCGTACACTTGTTCAGTGCAGACTCAGCACACTCCCAGAACGATGCAGGTGCACCTAACTGTACACGGTACGTGTTCAAACCAATTGCAAATTGTTACCGGAGATGTACTAGAAAAAAATAGTTTATAGATGGGAAACGTCAGCTAAGCACATCTTAAAGCTTTTTTTTCTTTCCTTCTTTCTTTGTCTTGGATGTATGTTGCCATAGACTGTATGTGCCATTGGCTCTGGGTCCCTGCAAACAGATAATTAGCCCAGAAGGGTCTCCAGCTTGCCCAAATTAGGTTTAAATCCTCTTTCCTGCTCTGATGACAATTTAACAAGGTATAAAAATACAAGAGGAAAATACCAGGACACAGGTTGGTGTATAGGTCCCTGAAGCAGTGTCTGTCGGTTGGGTTGAGGTCTCTTTGCCTGTCTCAGAACTTGTTTTTTCCCCCATGGTGTTCAGCCTGGTGGCGGTGTAAAGGTGCGTAGTCAGGTGCTGAGTTCACAGCAGGGTTATAGCTGCTGCATTTTAGCATTGATGTCAAATATTGCCGGAAACAACCTCGTTTCCTTTCCGATGTCACTCTGTGTTCAGAAGTAGCCAGTGTCGCTACTGCAGCAGGCGGCGGAAGGGTTGTTTCCTACAGACCAGCCTTCTCCCAGAAATACTGACATCCCAATATCGTTAGTGAGAACAGTCCATTTATTTCCCTGAGTCTCTTTTCTGTTATAAGCGCTGCAGAGCAACAGCCTCGGTTTTCCACGCGTGGAGGTCGTGTTTGTTGTGTTGTTCCAGGGTGAACAGCTCTTTTTGAGTTTTGATTGGCTTTATAATAGTTAACGCCCTTGTGCAAGGGGCCAAAAAAAAAAAAAGTTGAAAATTAATTGCGTATATGAAACGTATAAACGGGAGCTTAAAATTAATTAGGCTGACTAGAAGTATATAGAGAAATAATAACTCAATAGTTAAAAATACGCATAATTATTAAGCGATTGCATTTATATCTTCAGAAATGCAAAGTATAGCCTAAGGCTTTAACTTGTTAGTCTTTGGTGTAATCATCATTAACATTTTCTTTTGCATTTTTATGAGTAATAAGGCAATGAATATAAACCAGAAGAATTTAAATGGCAGTCTCTATTAATCCATATGGCACACCAAAATCCCTCACAAATAGTGTGTATGAGATGCTTCCCAAGCTAATTACCCTTAACCACCGGACCTTTAGTCCCCGAAGGTGTCTAAGAACGTTCGGCTGCAGCACTGCAAGAGCGAAGTGTGTTTGTTGCATAAAGAACATTATTTTACTAGCACAGCCCAAAAGCCATCACTTACTCGTTTTTGTAACCTTTGGGGGAGGCTATTGTTGCGTAAAGACCCGTAAACGTGCTGCTTATCCGAGGGTTTGTTCAGGGACTGCAGAAGTGCTTGTGTGTAATCAATTGGGAAGCTGGGATGAAGCAGCTGTGACAGCATCAATTATTATTTCAATTGTATATAGATATTCAATTCCTCCACTATTATTTCAGTTTATTTTATGTAGGAAGCAGGGACCAGCTCCATGCAGCATAGCTGGAATCAGTGAGCCATTTTCAAGACAAAAAAAAATCCCATCCCTGTATTTTTCCCTGGGTAGTTCTCTTAGCAAGAGGGGAAAGGTGCTGAGCTCCCGGCTTGCAGAGAGAGGTCCTGCCCCCATGGGCGATCCGCAGCTCCAGACATTGTCCTGTCCCATCGCGGTGATGGTTGTGGCCGTTTCCTTCCATTCCAGCTCATACCTTTACGTACATATTCCGGTAGATATCAATAACTATTGGTGATGCTTAGCAGGTGGGATGTGAGTTACACCAATTGCCCATCCTGCAGGGGTGGGATCTCACCTTGAATTGATGTTGGGTTTTTCGGGGCAGTTTGGAGCCCTGTATCCTGCGTACCGCTGCCGTTATCCTTCCAGGGGACCCGGGTGGTACTCGTCCCTGTAAGCACTTCTAATCAGGTCGCTTCGTACTTGCACTGCTAATAAAGCCACCGCGTCACCTTCCGTGTGCTGGGACCCAGGAGGTGAGGATGGGAGGTCTAGGCGTCCTTTGAGATGGAGATGGACCTATCTGAGAGCAATGAGACTGTAAGGGAAACATCAAACAGCTAATTGGTGCTATAAGCTCATAGATCCCGTCCTGCCAAGTAGGGTTTGTAGGGATGATATAATCACATTTTATGGAAGAGTTTTTATGTTTCCTTTTTATATTGTTCATGGCTCTGCATTTTCAAGATTCGAAACAACGTCTGCTGTTGGGGAGAAATAAAGGAAGGGAAAAGCAGGTCTTTCGTCAAAGTAAAATCATTCAGAGGGCTCGGGATCCTTTTACATTGTGAATAAATGATCAGCAGCAGACCTGGAGCAGCACAGCAAATAACAGGGGGAAAAGAACATTTAAAAGGAAAGTCTTAGCCCTTTAAAATCCCTCTGCCCTGCAGGCTGCATTGTGTCCTGTAAGGCTAAAAGAAGACAGCCTCCTGCTGCAAACGGCAGAGCTGGCAGAGCCAGGGGTGTATTGTGGCACAAATTAAACGAGTAAAGACTTAACGGCTGATCGTAAACTCCCAAATAGGCTCAAACTCCAGGCTGCAAAATGATTTGCTGTGAAACTCCACTTTAAAAGCCATGTAAATCCAACTCTTTTTTTCTTTTTTTGGGGGGGATTGTGTGTGTGAAGCCTTTCCATCCGCACAGACCCAGCCGCTCTCGTTTTGAACATCCTCTTCTCCCCTGGTTGGGCTGACAGTTTCTGAACGTATTCATGCAGGTGTTTCACAGCAGAAATACATTTTTAATGGGTTAAGGCTGCCCTAATTTCCCTGAGTAAAACATGGAAAGGTAACATGACCAGGCTGAATAATGATAATTAAGGTTATTATAATTATAATAATAACCAAAGCTGAAGGGAAGCTGTAGCCTCTCCATCACCATCCCGCGCGGATACAGGGAGCGGTGAGACCTGGTGGGGTTTGGCCACAGACCGTCAGGAATCTGTGGCAGAACTTGAAGTTGAGTTTCAGGCTCCCAAGTCCCTGCTCAATGCTGTAACGAGACTACCGAGTCAAGTCTAGATCACTGTTACTGTAGCTACACCTTTTTGTACCAAGAAAGTTAATCAAGATGGTTAACAAAAAAGAAAAAGGCTCCCGTGTCTTTAGCCCACTTTTACATCTGTGAAAGGGAAAATCCCAGGAAAAAGAGGGAGATAATCCAGTTCACTTCATTTCAGCCTGAGAATTATGAAGTAATTAATTAGAAGTTTAGAAGGCAGGAGTTTGTAATCAACTCAACCTACTTCAGTGCCAGATGCCAGGTCTGCAAAGTCATGAACTGCAGATGATTGAAACATCAGATGTTTGCCACGGTAAGGTAAAAAAATGAAATACTGTTTATGACACTCACCATTTCCCAGCAAAAGGTTGCAATTTCTGCTGCTTCTAATCTGACATTTATTCTATCAAAGCTCAAATTGCATCCTCCAAGCTGTGCTTCCCTTGCCATTTGCAAAGACATTAAGATGTGTTTACCAGCGTCCTTGGGAAGGAATTTTGCTGCAGGGCAGAGTGACAGGTCCCAGCCCTGCGTCACTGGACCCTGTGACAATGCCACCGCCCCACGCAGGGACATGCATGACTCCCGAGAGATGGGGGCCAGAACGGGGTGTCCAAAGGGACCCCAGCTGCGAGGGAGGGCTGCAGGACGACGAGGGGAATAGAGAACAGGTCTGGAGGAGATTGCTTTGGTTAACCCTGCAAAATGGGGGCACGGGGAGGATTTTGTCATGCTTTATTAATGCCCTTGGTGCGGAGCCCAGGAAGGGAGAACGAGCGTTCTGGCTAACAGAGCACTTGGACAAGCCTGGGCACATAGAACTGCTGGGAGGGAATTTTAGTGAGAGGTGAGGGGAAGGTGGATCAAGGGGTGGGTTTTCAAGGCTGTGTTTTAGTCTGTCGTGGATGCACAGCTTGCATAGGTCCATGGTTTAGGCTTTGAGGTGTTGCTAACAGGTCTCATCCCCTTTGCCACCCTGTCTCCAGCTCCTCACGGGCTCCATATTATTGTAGTTTAGTTATTGGATTGTTCTTATCCCAACCCATGAGTCTCTTTTCCCTTCACCCCTTTAATTGTCTCCCCATCCCTGGGAGGGTGAGTGAGCGGCTGTTGGGGGTTTTGCTCCCAGCCAGGGTCAAACTGTAACAATCCCGCAGGACCCCAGTTCCTAGGTACATCAGTGCTTCCATCAGTACCAAAGTGCAAACACCAGGGACCTGGTGACATAAAAACTTTCTGACATTAGCTACATGGCATCTTTATTTTGATTTTAAGCTCACGTGTGCTGGGCACATTCGGGACTCCTCGCAGGCAGCCCCTGTGCCTATGGGACACGGCACAGGCTCCTCTCCTGCCCTCTCTGCATCCTCTCATTTCTGTACGTCATCTGCACTTAATGCAGTGTGCACATAAATAATTCAGTTACCTATGTAAATGTGATTTATAGATTCAGTTAGAAGCCTTAACCTATATTTTTTATTTAAACATGGGTAATATTTCCAAAGTAATACTCAAGGCCCTTTTTCTGTTTAATAAACCTCCTTGATGTCCCCTAAATATTAATGTATTGATTCAGTCTTTGCAATGTTTGCAAAGTCTAATTTGTTTCCTCAATCAGGCCAAAAGGGACTTGCATTTGGAGCTAACGAGATAAATCTCACCCAAATTTATTTAAAGTGGGACAAAACAAATATGCAAAAGACTTCAAAAATCATATAACAACCCCTTTCCAGCTGAAATTGACAATCCACTGCTCTTTTAAATTGCCAGCACTCAAGCAGGATATCAGTTTTTGTTATAAAATTAACTTGCTCGTGCCAGCCACTGTTATCATCTTGTCCCTGCTCAGCACAAGAGGAAAAAAACTTGGAAAAATTATTCCGGAGGTGGCGGCAGCTGTGTGAGATTCGTCCAGTGACAGAGACCCCCCAGGGGAGCAAACCACCCGCTCCAGCAACCAGCACGCCTGGACTGGCCATTGCCAGGG